TTTTTTTAAGCTTTCTCTGATTTACAGGAAATCAATAGAGCTCGGGATTCCCCAATCGTATAAAAGTCACACAAATAAATATAAGTATCAGGAAAACAGCCAACTTGAAAAAAAAAATTAATCCCCTGACACAACTATACCGCGTGTGTATAAGTGTGTGTCACCATTTTTAAACGCGATTATGACATTTTTTTTCAAATTTCTGTTTTAGAGATAACGATCAATGGTCGGGCGAATCTAAGAACGGTCCGAGCGACAATGATCGTGAATATGCTGCTGGCCCACCGGGCATGGACCCCGATGGCGTCATCGAGTCCAATTGGGACATTGTAAGCATACCGTTTTTTTTATTCATAGTGTAATAGTTACAGTGTTCATCTCTTCCAGTGCGATCACTGTATCCAAAGGGCGCTTTGTGATCGCCCCGGACGGATTCGGATCGGTATAGCGAACGACTTTTTTCCTACCGAGGGCGGAGCAAACGTCCGGAAATTAAAAAAAAAAGCTTGAGGGAGATAAAATAGTTTTTTTCAATATTGAACTCCGATAATTAATAAGTTTGACTATGATAGCAGCGTCATGAAAGAGTTGTACTGAAATTAACATTTAAAATTTCATGCAGAATTTCTTTTACTTCATCCAATAACTAAAATTATATTGTCTCTAAACACTTTTGCGACATTCAAAAAAGCCTCAAGTATATTTTGAGCTTCGATATTATACTGCGAGTTTACATAAAAACTAAAAAATTTTGTTTTATAGATTGTCGACAACTTTGATGATATGAATCTGAAAGAAGAACTGTTGCGCGGTATCTACGCTTACGGATTTGAAAAACCTTCAACTATCCAGCAGCGTGCTATTTTGCCGTGTGTTAAAGGACATGACGTTATTGCCCAGGCTCAGTCTGGTAGATGTTCATTGATTGCATCAAACAGTGTTGTCTCGTTGTCGATCTTTCACTTAATTTTACTTCTTGTATTATTTTAGGTACTGGTAAAACTGCTACCTTCTCGATTTCTATTTTAGAAAAGATTGATACAAGTCTGAATGAGTGCCAGGCCTTGATCCTTGCACCCACTCGTGAATTGGCCGTACAGGTAATTGCTTAGCTTTCTATGATTAATTACATAGACATTTCTAATCAAACTACCTTAAAATTCAATTTGGTAATTGCAGATTCAGAAAGTAGTGATTGCCCTGGGTGATTTCATGAATGCACAATGCCACGCTTGCATCGGTGGTACCAATGTCCGCGACGATATGCGCAAGTTGGAGCAAGGCGCTCACGTAGTCGTTGGCACGCCCGGCCGTGTTTTCGACATGATGAGTCGAAATGCATTGCGCTCCAAACATATTAAATTGTTTGTCCTCGATGAAGCTGATGAGATGCTTTCTCGTGGATTTAAAGACCAAATTCACGATGTTTTCAAACTCTTACCACCTGAAGTCCAAGTAAGAATTGTTGAAATAATTGTTATTTATTGAAAAAACATTAAGTTTCGCCGTTCAACTTGCACATAACTACACCAACAAAAAATTATATGACATTGATATTATTTTTACTGTTAAAAAAAATTGTTTTATGTAGCTGTGCTTAAGTTTTTTATGCGTTTTGACAATGTATTAAAAGCTTGATTTTATTTTAAGGTGATTCTACTATCTGCTACTATGCCCACGGACGTGCTTGAAGTATCCATGTGCTTTATGAGAGACCCTATCCGTATTCTCGTTAAGAAAGAGGAGTTGACTCTTGAGGGTATTAAACAGTTCTTTATTTATATTGAACGCGAGGACTGGAAACTTGATACTCTGTGCGATCTCTATGGCACACTATCAATCACTCAGGCTGTTATTTTCTGCAACACTCGTCGCAAGGTCGATTGGTTAACCGAAAATATGCACCGCAAAGATTTTACTGTCTCTGCTATGCACGGTGACATGGAGCAGCGCGAGCGTGACGTTATTATGCGTCTCTTCCGTACTGGATCCTCGCGTGTCTTAATAACTACTGATCTTCTCGCTCGTGGTATCGATGTCCAGCAGGTTTCCTTAGTTATCAACTATGATTTGCCCTCAAATCGAGAAAACTACATTCACCGGTGAGTTTGTCTCCTTAAAAAGAGTTGTCTTAATTTTTTGCAAGACTATGAAACTGTTATTTTTACTTTTCAGTATCGGACGTGGTGGCCGTTTTGGTCGTAAAGGTGTCGCGATTAACTTTGTGACAGCCGAAGATAAAAGAACTTTGAAGGATATTGAGCAGTTTTATAATACGCGCATCGATGAGATGCCCATGAATGTCGCTGATTTGATCTAAACGTGCCCGAGGATAAATTATTCTTTATAAAAGAATAAAAATAAGTGCAAAAAGGAGCTCTCAGCTAATATCTTTCATGTGGTGTGTGAGTATACTCTGAATACTGATTTTGTGAAAAATAATCGCTTGGATATAAGCGCAAATTGTACCGCGGATTATATTCCTACGGGTATTAATAATTATTCTTCAAGTTACTTTTGTTTAAAAAAAACAAGTGCGTAGACTTTTACAGTAGGTGAAAGAAATAGTTTCACGGATTGTGTGCTTTTATATAACGCAGCCGTGATTATTTACGCTACTGATTATATAACTCTTAAAATATTACCATAATCACTTATACACATGTATATTAGTATAGTTAGTACCGTAAAAACTGGCTAAAATCATAAGAAAAATCAGCTGACAAGCGTTTGCTCTTCGCGGTAAGCCGCGTTGACACGCGTGGCCCGCAGGTCGCATCTTAGTGGCTCGAAGGTGAAGCATTAGCTTTCACCGGGTCTAAGGGAATTGATAATTAAACTTTTTTTTATTTATTTGTGTCTCAGTCAGTTTTCGGTATTATTATAATTATTTTATCAATATTATTTTTATTATTTGCATTAAACAGTAATTATGGATTTTCTTTTTCTTTGGAAAATAATTTCTCTTCTTGTACTTTTCTTAATTTCTTTTTTACTGGTATTGCAGAAGTACAAAAAATTGAATTCGCGTACATGTTTTCAAAGTCATTGTACATTTTACGAGATTATGATTGAAAAAATCGTTTCGATGTTTTTACTACCAAGACTGCTACTTGTTTGTCTAGGCAGAGGTTTAGTTGGGTATTGGAGAGGCTATTTTAATCACAAACGAACAAGAAGGAAATAAATCATTGCAGTCTAGCTTAATGAATTAAAATTTTTTATATTATATACTCTCTTAAATACAACTTCATCATTTTTATTTTTTTTTTTGTAGCGAAAAATTATTTAAAGAAGCCAAATAAATAATTTGTTTGATCTTATATAGTTTTCCATTTAAACTTATCATCCATGTTTGGAAATTGCTTTTTCAATTGCTACCAATCATTGCTGCTAGCTCGGATTCTAATAATACTTGAAAAATTTTCACAGTACATATTCTATTATTGACGGTATTTGTACCACTGACTCTTTCTTCTGCTTAAACAAATAAAACAGAATCTTAAGGAACTTAAAATTTTTTAGCGTTTTATTTTTGTGTATTTCGAGACATTTTCGGTTACCAAACAATTGAGGAAAAAAATTTTTTCAGTTAAACTATATACTTAATTTTGTGAATTGATAACTTACTTATTATTATGTATTTTTTTGGACAATTGATTATTAGTCAACATTCTAGTTTCTTTACAAAAAGTGCAAGTGAACTATTGCAATCTTGATTTTTTTATGCAAGAATTAAAAGGATCAAGTCGTTTTATACAGTAGTGAGAGAGATATATTACAGCTTCAATAATTACTGATTTACATGATGTTTACATCATTTTACTAAAATCCCTTCTCAATTTTATTCTAAATAAGTTGAGAATTAACGAGTTTTCCGTTTTTATCAATATGTTGTAACCTTTTAAAAATTTTGTTGGAAATGTCATTTAATGGATCATTTTTTGAAAATTTTGCGAATAAAGTTAAAGCACATCTTATGGATAAGAAAAGACTCGAAAAACATAAAAATACGGGTACCGTTAAGTAGTAAGACAAAATGACATCTTTATAAATGTAAACTCTGTTGAGCTTATATTGATTAATTATGTGATCAATTTTTTTGCAATATTTACAAAAAAATCACAAATATAAGAAAAAAGAAATCAGCAAAAGTAAAAGAAGTTTCTAAAAATTATTGGACTACAGAACTGAATAGTTAGGTAATTTATTTATTTCGAATTTTTGAATATTTATTTCTTTCTGAGTTATTGAATACTGAAGTCCTGGTATTTATCGTTTTATACATTTAAATTTGTCAGCCATAAAAATCTTATGCTTTTGACATAGGTATATATTGTCTATTTTATTTATTATATGTGTGCATGTTGTTATTGATAGTTTTAAGTTATTATTATTTGATATAAAAAAAAACATGCAAAAGAAAAACACAATTTAAAACTAATAAAAAATTTCAGAAGAAAACACTCTTAAAGAAAAAGTATAAAATAATCGAAAATTCATATTTTTTTTTAAATGAGTTGATAATTTTTTTTTCTCCAATAACATAGTAGATTGAACTTCATGAAAAATACAAAAATGACTAAAATCACGTAACTGTTGTGTTCAATAGAAACAAAAACATTAAGTATTAAAACTTTCTCACATAAATATTTTTCACTTATTTTATAAGTTCAGGTTAAGGAACAACGTGAATCGCTAAACAAGTAAGTGATCAGAAAATTGTTTAGCAATACGTATTTATTCTCTTTTTATACCTTTTAAAATAATATTTGGATGAAAAATAGACTGTTTAATTTAATTATGCATTCGAATTGATATTATGTACACAACTAATGTGGGATTAATAAACATTTATCAATGAAATCGAATTGAATTTCTTTTTTACCTTGTGTAAACAAATAAAAAATTATTTCAAGCTTTTTGTATACTACTTTACTGATGAGTTCCTTAAGCAATACTTAACGGTAAAATGGTTTTTTTAACCTCGTCCACATTTCTGTGCTTTCTCATATTTATATATTATGTTCTTTATGATTTTTCTAGCATTAGCCCATATATTGTAATCTCCTTTTTATGCAATTAAAGATTAAATTAGATCGAGTGTCATTTCAACTGTCTAAGCTCGCTATGATCACCAAAACTTGGAGTTTGGTCCTCCAGTGATGATTTGGAAAAAAAAAAAAAAAAAAAAACAATTCGTGATGTAAAACTGAAAAGGCACTTTTAGTTTGGAGTGGGTGTAATAAAATTACGATATATTAACATCACAAGTCAGAGTGAAAAGAGCTCAAAACACACTTGCCAATTGCGACCCAAGACATTTACCAGATAATCAGTAGTGATGCATTCAATGATATAGTTTAATGAAGGTAAGTACTATTTTCACACAATGAACACGGCCTAAAGCATAAAGTGACCAATTAAGTCCTAAGTACGCACAAAGCGGAAATACCACTTCACGAGCTCTCTAATGTTATCAAACTAAGCAATTGTATACCCTACCCTTGACTTTTATTGACGATTCACATATCACATACAAATGTAGAACAAAACGTTCACCACGTGCGTGCTAGGCGTATGAACAACATAAAATAATTTGGTAAATAAAATAAAGATTTGGGAGAGGGTTGTGTGTTTCATCAAGTGCCGTTAGTGCCTTTATCTTCCTCCGACGAATTCCCGAATATCTTTACACTTTTTGTATTACCCTCTCTTTTCCACGGTCTATGCACTCCTCTGATACGAATGATTTCCTATTCTACCGACATACGTTATTAATGAGAGAGTGACCTGAGTGACCAACACACGACGATCGATCTGACCATAATTGTGACCATTTGTTGGCGTTCCCTACTTCGCTCCGCGTGGCACACTAGATCAAGGCAGGCTAGGTAGATGAGTAGATCTTGCGCTTGCACGCCTTACTCTCTTTCACTTTCGTCTCGACCGTCGACGACGATTCAGTTTCAACGTGGTGCTACCGTTGCCACTGATGATTAACCTCAATCACTCTGACACGTTACGTTGAATCATCCCAGCTGCTTCACAATTTTTCCCTCTTACAATAACCAAAATTCTAACCAAAATCTGATCGCCTCACAAAGTTTGATTCCTCAACGTAAAAGTTAACTTCGGTTCGTCTTCGGTGGTAAAAATTCTACCATAATTTAGTCGGTGTGTCTTTTGCAAGTACACGGAACATCTACAAGACGCAAGGAACAAACGCTAGTAGCTTGTTTCTTCAGCTGAGGTTACTTTACGGGCACCACGCCACCACACGCGGGGCCATTGACGAAAAAACGCCGAAGACTAAAACATATAAGAGAAGGAGTGCCGTAAAACAACATGAGTGACAAAGGGTAAATTTTTTCCTTGTAACTTGATTTTTTTTATATTTTCCAATCACTAATTTAATGTTGAGTGGGTGTGCGTGCGTTTTTCTCTCCATCTCTTTCTGTCTCTCTCTCTCTCTCTCTGTGTGTGTGTGTGAAGTTTCTCAATCTGCATCGCTTTTATCCATTTATCCGTAGGCTTTTTTATTTTTATTTTATTACGTCTAGTGTATAATGTATAAATTTATGATCTACATTCGGTGTGTGATAACTTAACAGTCACAACAGTGAATTTATAGTTGGCATCTTAATTATACAATGTGCTTGACAAATCTAACCAATAAAATCGCTTAGTTTCAGTGGTAAGATATGATATTAACTATAATCATTTTAGCATTTGTGATAGCACGATATTGATAATACGTATATTATGACTAGAATTTTACAACTCCATTCATTGTAGGCCTACTCCTCACCTACTCTCAAGTAAATTTTACTTATTCACATCGTAATATTGCAGCGTTGAATTGTAAGTATGCAAGTATGAATTAAACCGTTACATATAATCATTGTTAACTTAAGGTTTTAAAACTACGACTATGTGGCCTAACTTAGTACTAAACTTTCAGTTTAAAATTTCCAAGATTTGCGCAATCATGTACACATGTACAATGAATTTATTCTTCTCGCACTGATATGGTCAATTTTTACACTTCACCCTAGACGGTTTTCCTCTCTCTATCTCTCTTCCTCTCTCTGCATGGAGCTCTTACTTTGATGAATCATTATTGAAAATTTTGCGCTGATCAATGATAAAGTATTGTTAAGTGGCAATACCGCCCACCTCTTATTGTAGTAACCTCACAGATGTACCATCCGTCTCATTTTTTAAATAGCTAACTGTTTCTTGACTTAGATTCTTATGTGAACGATTACATCCTGTGTACATTTTTCAGCATCATGTTCATCAATTGATTGTGTAATTTTTACTCAAAGAAACAAATTCCATTATCAATTTATCAGCCATCATCTTTGAAAAATTTCCACTTGTACAGCTTATTTGAATTTTATTACCATTAAACATTTTTTTAATTAGTTCCTATGCAAATGCTATATCGCATTTTTTAAATCGATTTCTGTATTATTAACTTCCTCATACTGTTTCGCAAATGATAAAGTTGGTAAAACTATTTTCTATGCTCTTAAATGTAAGCACAAGTTTTCACTAAATTTTCATGAGGTGAGTATTCGCCACACAACGAACCATCTTCATTATAATATTTAGCCAATATGTAGTAACTCCTTTATCTACTATTTTAAACTATATTTAATCTAATTTAAAAGAAGCTTTTGTATCTAACGTCAGGTAAATGAGTTACTATTATCTCATATATTTCTTGTAATATCAACTATTACAATAATGAGAATAATACCCAAGGAAAAAGTTTTCCGTTGTTAACTAAATAATATAAGAAAACAAGTGTCAACCAAAAATAGTTAACAAAAAAAAACACTCAAAATCTGATTTTAAAAACTTATTGGTAATAATTGATTTTTTTACTGTATTTCTTGTGGTATTTTCGTGTACGAGCCTTAACGTTCCAATAAAGCTTTTTTCGGACTTTTGATTGGCCCATGCCTAGTCACGAAATATAAATCCAATAAAAGTTATAAAAAAGTAAATCATAAATTAGTGAAAGATTAAAATGTTTTGGATTCTCAATCATTAGTGTTAGCCAAGTTTTATAATTCCTACAACTATAACTATTAAATATATAACATTTTAATAACCTTTGTTTTTAATGATTTCTTACAACCTTCCTCGCCCTTAACTACATATCCAATTGTTTTTTTTACAAAATGTTTATTCTTGAACAGTAAGATTTTTTATATCAGAGAGCAAAACAAAGTCAAACTTTCATTATAGCAGCTACAGCGAAGTAGTATTTAACAACGCAACTTAATGTTTGTTTTCTCATTTTTGATTCCAGGGATAATGAGCAGTGGACGGGTGACTCCAAAAATGGCCCAGGGGACAAAGATCCTGATTACGCTTCAAGCCCACCGGGCATGGAACCTAACGGCATCATTGAGTCGAACTGGGACATTGTGAGTATTGTTTTATTCATTTATTCACACATACAAATTAAAAAATTTCTTTTACATACTCATTAGGCATACAATATATAATATAGATCAAAACTTTAACCTTGAATAGCTAAATTTTATACTTGTTTATCCGCTACTAGTGTACATAGCAAGATTATTTTTTTAATGTTTAAAAATATTAAAAAATAAATGCTGTTTTTATATCAACTTACTTTCATAGGTGTGCGTTTTTGCAAGTTGTATTGTAAAAACGCGCCTTCACATTCAGATATTATTTAAACATATGCACTTTACGATCAAAGAAAACTCAAAAAAGTGAATTCACAAGTCATTTTTGAGTATGATATTACTGATAGTTTTTAATAAATCTTTAAATAATAAGTAAATTGCTGTTTCCAGTTGCTGAACCATGTAAGATCGTAAAAAAGGCTTGATATTTTTCACAAGCTTGTATTATCTTATATAGTTTTTAACATTTTAATGAATAAAAATCGTACAAAGTGCAAATTCAAAATTATTGAAAGACTTTTTATTATGTAAGTTTTTACTAAATTAATCAAAATTCTACTTGAATATATATTGTATTGTATTGTATTATATGTATACAATATATCCATTGTAGGGTTTTTACGTCACCATCTTTTTTTTTCCCCAAGTATAAGAGTCTTTAGTGCAGACTCACAATTTAAAGTTTCCCTCAAACGACTTAGTCATCCGTTTTACTGGGTACTATTTGCAAAGTGTAGTAATTGTTTCAAAGTTTTTAACTGACCCATTATTGATTTAAAGGTAACAACAAAATTACTTTATTTACAGCTCGTTGAAAACTTTGATGACATGAACCTGAAAGAAAATTTGTTGCGTGGTATATACGCTTACGGTTTTGAAAAACCTTCTGCTATCCAACAGCGTGCTATTTTGCCCTGTATTAAGGGTCATGATGTTATTGCTCAGGCTCAATCTGGTACTTAATCATTCAAATTTCGAATGAAAAATTGTATTAAAATTTTATACATACTAAGTCATTTTTCTTTCCATATTTTAGGTACTGGTAAAACTGCTACCTTCTCGATTTCTATTTTAGAAAAGATAGATACAAATCTAAATGAGTGCCAGGCCTTGATCCTTGCACCCACTCGTGAATTGGCCGTACAGGTAATTGCTTAGCTTTCTATGATTAATTACACAGACATTTCTAATCAAACTACCTTAAAATTCAATTTGGTAATTGCAGATTCAGAAAGTAGTGATTGCCCTGGGTGATTTCATGAATGCACAATGCCACGCTTGCATCGGTGGTACCAATGTCCGCGACGATATGCGCAAGTTGGAGCAAGGCGCTCACGTAGTCGTTGGCACGCCCGGCCGTGTTTTCGACATGATGAGTCGAAATGCATTGCGCTCCAAACATATTAAATTGTTTGTCCTCGATGAAGCTGATGAGATGCTTTCTCGTGGATTTAAAGACCAAATTCACGATGTTTTCAAACTCTTACCACCTGAAGTCCAAGTAAGAATTGTTGAAATAATTGTTATTTATTGAAAAAACATTAAGTTTCGCCGTTCAACTTGCACATAACTACACCAACAAAAAATTATATGACATTGATATTATTTTTACTGTTAAAAAAAATTGTTTTATGTAGCTGTGCTTAAGTTTTTTATGCGTTTTGACAATGTATTAAAAACTTGATTTTATTTTAAGGTGATTCTACTATCTGCTACAATGCCCACGGACGTGCTTGAAGTATCCATGTGCTTCATGAGAGACCCTATCCGTATTCTGGTGAAAAAAGAGGAACTGACTCTTCAAGGTATAAAGCAATTCTTTATCCTCATTGAACGTGAGGACTGGAAACTCGATACCCTGTGCGATCTTTACGACACGCTGTCGATCACTCAGGCAGTTATTTTCTGTAACACTCGTCGCAAGGTCGATTGGTTAACCGAAAATATGCACCGCAAAGATTTTACTGTCTCTGCCATGCATGGTGACATGAATCAAAACGAGCGTGACGTTATTATGCGTGAGTTCCGTTCAGGGTCCTCTCGTATCTTGATCACCACTGATCTTCTCGCTCGTGGTATCGATGTCCAGCAGGTTTCCTTAGTTATCAACTATGATTTGCCCTCAAATCGAGAAAATTACATTCATCGGTAAGTTTTTTCACTTGAAACGCCGTCTCTTGATTTTGCAAAAAATTATGCAATACTTTTTTTCTTTTGCAGTGTTGGACGTGGTGGTCGTTTTGGTCGTAAGGGTGTTGCTATCAACTTCGTGACTAACGAGGATAAGAGAACTTTGAAGGATATCGAACAATTTTATAATACGCACATTGAAGAAATGCCATCAAATGTCGCCGACTTGATCTAAGCGTTTCCGAGTAAAAATTGTCCTCTATAAAAAAGATAACAGTACATGCTAAAAGGAACTGATCAACTATCTTTTATATGATGTGCGAGTGTACTATAAATACTCTGAAAAAATTGTAATCGCTCGAGTAAGGCACAAACCGTACCGCAGTTTGTATTCAAGGGAACATTCGTTACTCTTTTGTGTAATTGTTTTGTTTTACAAAAATACTTAGTACATTAATATTTGTAATAGGTAAAAATATAAAATTTGGTAGAAAAACTGTTTGTAGAACTTCTAGGTAGCAGGCGTTTTGCTTGTTCTTTGGAAATCAGGTCCCATTTGCTTAAGGCGTCTTGCAAATCGTCCATCTTTGTTTTAGCTTTGTTTAGTTTTATTGTTGAGCTCTTCGTAACCAAAGCACAGTATTTTATTCAGTTGGTCAAAATTTTTCACCATTTCTTTATTTTGTCTTATAAATATTACATTTCTTGTAGACAATGCCTCGTTTAATTTTTTTTGTTTTACTTTTTTTTAAAACTTGCGTAAACATAAAGTACAGTTCGCACATCCACTTAAAAGAGTATGAAACATATTACAAAATTATAATAGGAGAATTCTTTTTGATGATTTTAATGCTTAGACTTTTATTCGTTTATACAAGCAAAGGCTTAGTTGGATATTGGAAGGGTTATTTTAATTACAAACGTGCAAGAAGAAAATGAATCTACTTAAGCCGTTTAGCTCAATGAAATAAATAAAATTTTGTACAATACATTTACTTATTGAGTGCAACCTCATCTTATTTAAATTGTTTGTTGTAACGAGAAATTTTTAAATAAAAATTTTTTCGTACATAATGTACCTATAACCTAAATTGAGCATGAGAATTTTTTCTTAGTAATAAATGACAATGAGTTTCAGGGTTGTCTCTAGTATACCTTCAACAATTAACACGTGACGACTGAAGAATTTCTGTTTTTTAATGTTTATTATGAAGTCATAAATCATTTTACGTTTAGTTCATTTATTTTATTTTATGTACGCTTACAAAATTTATTGAACAACTCAAGTCATCTTTTCAACTGATTTTTTTTATATGAACCCTGGCATCAGATTTCTGAGTTTCAGGTGGTTCACTTGGTGCTTAAACTTTACTATTGTTATTTATTAATTTTATTCAGCTGTAAGAAAAACACTCAAATCACTAACGAAGTAACCATGGATACGGAATCGAGGGTCTCTTTTCATGTACCTATTACAAATCTAGTATTGAACATTTTTAGGTTGGTAAAGAGATGGTGGTGGTCTAGAAGTTCACGGATGTAAGTAGATCTAATGCATTTTTAAATGAATTTTTTCAACCAAAATAAAGTCAAGAGAATATGCTTCAATTTAGTCACGTGTCTATCACTGTTGGTTATAAGAAAATGATGTTGTACACTTGAGGGCACTTTATATCTGTTGGAAGTTGGAACGGTGAAAAATATTACCTGTTAAAATGATAGTAAGTTTTTATTATAGGACATCATTGACCGTGTGTAGACAAATCGTTCCGACGAATTTTGTTGTGCAACTACCAATAAAAAAAAGCTTCGCAAACGTTATTGCTGCACGTTGCATCCACCTCAACTTAATGTGAAGTTTCCTTGCTGAATAACGTATTAGTTAATTGAGCGATGATTAAGTGCTCGCAAATAATATAATCCACATAATTTAATTAAACTTTCTTTATTAAAAACAATTAGTGAACAAAAAAATAACTAAAAGATAAAAAATTAAAGCACCATTATAATTCGCATGGAATGTTTGGATAGTTTTAAAAATTATCGCATTTTATATGTACACTTTTTACTTTTGTAGTATGTTAAAAAAAAAAAAAAAAAAAATGAAATGCACTTTAACCGCATGTCGTACCTAACAATTCGACATTTGATGAAACATTTGTTTTCCCCAAAAATAGAGTCACGATCATTAGATAGAATATTGTTTATATACATTTTAAAAGTTCATTACGTAAACACGTGTATGAAGGGTTCAAAGTAATGTAATATACAAAAATTTAATGTTGATTTTTCTAGAGTCTAAAAATTTATTTCAATTTACTTTGAACCGGTGATCATATACGTTTTAACAAATAAATTATAGAGAGTATTAACATTTTGACAATCTGTCACAGACAACTTTTAAACAACAACACAAACATTTTTCTGTACCAGCCAGATTCATTATAATAGAAATAAATTTAATCATCCTCTGATATTTTTTCCTGTAGTATATGGTCGTAAATACTCTGAAAAAAAAATTCGTATAAATAATCGCTACAGTTGATTATCCGAAAAATTGTTTAAGAACAAGTTAAAGAAAGTGTAACTTACCATTACTGTGGTGAACGCGTAACCAATTGGTCCGTTCATCAAATGAGACTCTTTAAAATCATCTATGAAATGCAATTCACTTTTAAGTTGTAAAACGCTTGCTCGGACGACAACAAAGTAAAATATTGGTATCAAATCGTCAGCAGATAATTTATAATTTTCTTTCAACCTTTTTTGTATGGCCTATAAAACATAATCGAAATTATTTTTGAAAAATTTGAAATTTTACTTCGATTTACGAATTTTACCAGTTCTATTTGTTCGTAGGTATTTCTGATGACAATTAATTTTTCAACTGCAGAAAACGTTGTTTTCAATTGTTGTAAAGTTTCTATTGCATCAATCAAAAATACATCGTTTTCCGATGTATTAAAATCTTTCCAAAATTTTCTGAAAAAGGTGCAATTAATCGATGAAACTCTAAGTATCATCAAAAAGTATGATAATAACTTACTGATGGACACCTAGAAAAGCTAACAACGTATTGTTAGGCTGTTTGTTCCACTTCATTAATCTTTTCCAATAACTATCGTCCGTTTTTTTATTGTGAAGCGCGTAGAGTACAAACAAGGCCGAATAAACTCGCGGCAATAAAATTGGGTGAAGTATGGCAGCCGAACTTATCATTTTTCTAAAAATTATAAAATTCAAGGTAGAGACAGAGGGCTTTCAATGTTTGAGAATAAATCGTTAAAAATTATTATCCATAGCATATTTACTCCTCATTGTGATCGCCATTTTCGGATCTAAGTAAGTACTGATCATCAGCCTTGGGCAAAGCTGGAAAGAATAGCGTAACAGCTTCGTATATTCTGGTGGTAATGCTTTTGAGTTCCGACACCGCGTGCTCTAAAAGCAACGGGTGTACTCTCACACCACCGTAAGTAGCCGTATACACGGTGGCTAGCTCACTCAAGAGCGTCCCAAGCGGATGATGAGGACTTTCGAAAGCTCGCGACAAGTATTTGTGTACTTGTTCGTAAGCAGATTGGTTGAGCTCTTCGTAACCAAAGCACAGTATTTTATTCAGTTGGTCAAAATTTTTCACCATTTCTTTATTTTGTTGATTGAACGAAGAGACGAGGAAGGTGTTGTTGTTGAAATGCTGTCGTTTTTGGTAACTGCGTTGAGATTTTGAAATTATGGCCGCTACGTTCTGCCAGAGCTTTTGTGTTTCAAGCTGTTGAACTGCGGGGTTATTGTTGTGGTTATTATTGTTTGAGTTATCCGTCAAACCAAGCTGTTGATAGAATTGCCGGAATATCGCTTTCCATTTTTGATCGGGTCTCGCGCATAACTTTCCAAAAGATCTAGTAAAACGTATATACATATCGAACGATAAAATTTCGAAAAACTTTCAATATAATAATTCATGGGGAAAAAGTGAACCATAGTGGTACTTACGGTGGCTCATGTTTCGACTTTTCATTAACTTTATTATTTATGTGCAGTGTGGCTGTAACCTTTATACCCTCATTCCAGGCTCCACTGAAATTCCCCTCCAATTTTTCTTCATTACAAAAAGTTAAAATGCCCTTTCCACCAAAAACACCCACGGACTTAAATTCACCCTCGTAATGAGTTCCATCTTCAAAGACCATAATCCCATGACCCTGCAAATATCGACGAAAATTGAAGTAGTAATTATTTTATTTGTATATCCACTTTATGATCGTTGATTCAAATTAAGCATAATTTTCTACTTTTTACGTATTGTAAAATATAAAATCGTTTGCATAGCCCCCAGGGGAGGGGGTAAAAGAAATCAGCACGTATGCATGAAGAGATATTTTTTATTTTAGCGCTTTAGATGTACAGGTGTGCGCAATTGAATTATATTATTTCTAAGAAATATCAAGTTACCATAAAAATATCTTGAACAAATGTTCCTTCGTAATATATGCCATCTAAGGTAATAATAAGTCCACTTCCATGTTTCATATTGTTATTCCAAGATCCCATATATTTTTCTCCTACAATATGGATTCAATTATATACTTGCTTATTTGTCTCCTACGTAATAGATGATTGAAATCGTGCATTTTTTTATGACAGAAAAGTTTAAATCACCAGTTTTTATATCGTCCATAACTCCGTATCCTTGTTTCATGCCTAAGGACCATTCGCCAATGTATACGGAAGCACTGGACGCCATAAAATGACCTTCTTTTTTTATACCATGTCCATGTGGCAAACTATCTTTGAAATATCCTTCATAGATCTCTCCATTTATATAACTGCATTTTTCAAACGAAAACAAATTTTTTTAATATTAATAAATTGCCACGTCCATGTGAAGTTTGTTACAATGACCAAGTCGTATCTCACTTTATTAATACACTGAACACCAAGTTTAACGAAAACAAATTTTTTTAATATTAATTAACTCTTCTTTACACTTCAAAAAAAAAAATAAAAAATATTAAATGCTTAGAATCTATAAAAAGTTATCAAAGGGAAACTAAAGCGACTCATAGCGATGCNTTTTTTTCTATTTTTATTTCCCCATCCCGATTCAACAGGATCGCATTGTATTTACTCAGGTTTACGATAAGGAATCAATCTCTTCCCCCCTATTTTATTAGCGACTATCAGTCTTTCAAGGAGTCAGGGGTCAGGGATTCGACTCCTGCTTATTTTTCTGTACTGTTTTCAGCGAGAAAAGTATTCCTGACACCATGTAGTCAAGTTAAATTTTTTTCAGAATTATTCCACGATTACGAATTTTTACTTCTTTCCATTGCGGTCGAAATCGCGAAATAGTTAACGACAAATGTAAAAAAAGTAAAAAGTACATAAAGAAAGGTGCATAAAAAATGTAAAATAAACGTAGAAAAAGTACAAAATAATAAAAAATACAGGGATGGAGGTAAAATTGGTACACAAAAAAGTGTAAAATAATGATAAAAAAAAAAAAATAGTATACAAACGAGTCTACACGTCTACATATTATTTTTCGGCAATGTAAAAAAAAATGTTATATCTTTTATTATAATTTTTTCCAATTAACTATTACTATGTCATAAAAATGATGAAAATTTAATGATATTGATCATCATCCAACATTGAAATGTATAAATCAAACAAACCTCATAATACCAAATCCATTTTGTTGTCCATCTTTCCACTGTCCTTCATAGATACCTTGGGTGGGCATTTCCATTCGACCAGTTCCATGTATGGCACCTTTATGGAACTGACCTATGTACATACGATTATCCGCCCATTCTAATTTACCAGAACCGTGTAATTTTCCATTCATCCACTGACCTTTAAATTGTAATGACGATGAATATTTTTAAGTTCAAAAACATTTTCTCAACACTAAAGTTTATACCGGTGTATGTGGCATCCTTATACACGGCATGTTTTGCAAACGAAAATGAACCAGTACGAATTTGCGGAGGCATATGACTAGCAGATCGTTGTAGGCTGTTTTTAATGGCCGTCTGCAGGGCATGAAACCACTCGCTACGATCAGCGGCCGTTGGTGTGTATAATATAAAACTATCTTCTGGCGTCGTTATCGATATGGCATTCTAAAAAAAAAATTTTTTTTTTCTAGTCCCGCGTGGAAATTAGCAACAATTAGTGACAAATTGTCACTTTGTATGTATATATGCTCTGAAATCGCAAACACATACTTTTAACGTGTCTGAGTCAGGTAACAGTTCCACCCATAACAATGGTAAGAGATGAGCTGAGTAGTAATTTGTACCACTAACGTGTATAAATACATCGGTTAAGAGTATGAACCAGTGAGATGAAAATCTACTAGAATTATGCAATGAAATAGCATGAGATCGAGATTCTCTAATCATTCTCCTCTCGGGAGATCGAAACTGCTCGATTGACTTTCCTGAGCCCTCCCAGAAATTTTTTGTACTTTCGGCATCTTGCAGGCGTTTTGCTTGTTCTTTGGAAATCAGGTCCCATTTGCTTAAGGCGTCTTGCAAATCGTCCATCTTTGTTTTAGCTTTGTTTAGTTTTATTAAATTATTTATTATACTGATATACCTGTAATTTCATGGTTAAATGCATGAGTACCAAAATTGGAAACTATAAAGTTACAAAAATTAATTTATCTTATTTGGATTGTTTATTTTTCGTAAAAATTTTTTTTTTTTTACTTCAAACAGTCGGAAAAAAATTTTAATATAGAGATAAAACTAAGTAGACGTGAAAAAATAACGAGGTGATAGTGGAGATGATTCATAAAAGTAGTTTCCGTAACTGGCGCGATGAGCATTACCAGAGCGAGAAAAGCAGCGTCTACACGTCCTTTGAGATGCGTACAAGTTTCGAATCTCAGTTTTCCTATAATTGACGAGGACGTAGTAAACGAACTTATAAAGATTCATAATTATACGTAGACATGCACGAGAGTATTTTAAAAAAGTACAGCGGAGTGACAATTTACTTATAAGCGATCGCATTTTTTTCCGTTCGATTCCTTTTTGAAATGTTTCGACCTAGCCTCCGCATTTTTCAGTTCGAAATTACGGGCGTTGGCTAACGTAAGCATGATAACTATATGTATATATTTAAAAACATTATAAAGCATGCGTAAGTAATAGGACATTATCAATTACCTATTCAAGTGTTGTATGGGACGCTGCAAAATATGAGCAACGATGGACTCGTTAGTAATCTCTCCATTTTTTCCTTTGACCTTATCTTTAAAAACATTTAACAAAATGTCAAATGTATCGATGAGTTTAGGAATTTGTACAAATCCACCGAGAGACACAATATCACACACTGCATTCAAATATAACTTGAAGACGTTAATAAACTCGTCTACATTGATGACAATGGTAACTTCGTGAGCCTCGATCGCACCACTGTAGTAATCTTGGAGGCTCTTGACATTTAAAACGTTAACACTGAGAAGCTCCTGATAGCTGCAACACAAAGCCTCGTACACGTCAGATTCGATAGCAGCTCCACCTTTAACTTGAAGTGGCTTTATAAGGTTCTGATAAGCGTGAAGCGTTTCTTCTAAAAATACTTGCTCCTCTATCAGTGGTAAATCTGATACCATTGTAATTGAGCTCTTTGTCATAGTGCAGCAGCTTAAGATGCTCGTGCATAAAATATTTTTGAGTGCCATGTCATTGGCGTCCGGTATTTCTAGGCTTGACATGATACCGGAAGACCTGAAAGGACACTTTTAATTAAGCAGCCTATTTCATCCTGCAATCAAAATCAAGCAAGTATGTGTATATGTGTACCGTAACGGCACTTACTTGTGCTTCCCCATCAAAAATACATTTTGGTCAGTCATGATCAAGCTGTTATTGCCACCGGCCGCAATGTCCCTGGCTCTCTCGTTTGGTGACAAGCTTAAAAAATAGTTGGAAGAGAACAGCTGAGGCGACTTTTGATATACTTGCGAGCAGTGTGCCACCTGCATATAATTATTCCTACCCCAGGCAAAGACTCTGCCGTCCAGCGTAAGAGCTAAGGTATGAAAATCACCGCAAGCTATTTTTCTGAGCGCTGAGTGACCAAGTGTCGTTACCTCTTGAGGCCTCGGCCGACTGATAATGTCCCCGACGCCGAGCTGACCGTACTTGACGTCGCCCCATGTCCACAGCTCGCTAGATAAAATGCAGCTGCCCATCCCAACGAGCTTTTGGACTCGCTTGTTCAAGCGTTTCTGCACGAGCTCGTGTTCGGATGATCCGGTGCTCGATGACCAAACAAGGCTGTCATCCGCTCTCTTGAGACTATTGATTAGGCTTCCCGCCGTTCTCTTGGACTCTTCGATACCAAGTTCCTCGAAGTTGTCGCTCGCGTCATCCTCGGCACGTGCCTCGTTCGGATCTGAGCTGCCACTCACGTGCCTCGATAAGGTAACCACTTTGTCACCTACCGTTTTTACACCTTCGTACACCAAACTGGCCATACTCGTGACGTTTTGTTTGATGAGACTCGTCGGATTGTTGTCGATCGCGTCCATCTGCAGAAGTTCTACTTCCTTAGGACTGCTTCCGTACGAAGAAACCCAGGACAATTGTCGGGTGAAAAACTGCCTTGCGGTCTCAGTGTTTATCAAGAGCGACGAATTCTTCTTTGACTCTGTGACCTCCTTTTCCGACCCTGCTACCTCGTCGATGATCAAGTCGCCGCTGGCTATCGAATTTTCCGAGTTAAGTAGCGATGACTTTTCATTGTCCACCGTGTGAAAGACATCCTCCTTGCTGGTACTGGAGCATGAGTAATGCTCCTCGCTGAAGGGCTGGAGATTGACGTTCATTAGGCCGGTGTCCGAAGACGCGACGCTCATCGGGCTTGTTGGCATGAGGTTGTTGCTCTGCAGGCATTGCGAGCACGACTTGACGAACACCTCTTCGGCGGCTTCGTTGTCGCTGTCCGAGCAGTCGTCCTTGGCCAACCTGGACAGTCTTTGGACGAGGACTGCGTGAAAATTTGTGCCACACGCCACGTCCGAGACAATACGCCCTTCGAAAAAAGAAACTCTTCTGGCCTCCCGGAGGTCGCTTTTGATATCAATCTGAGCCTGCTCGCCGCTTGCCCATAATTGGCCATTTTCCGTGACAAAGAGAACTGAGCTATCATTTACTGCGATCGATGTGACTTTTACCATGCAGCTTTCTTGCTTACTCCTAAAATTATTATGTTTGAATATTATGTATGCACATGACGCGCTATAGATATTTTTTTTTTAATAAGAAAGATAAATTTGCTTTTCATTTTGTTAAGAATTTTCCACCCAATGTGTTTTTTTTGTTAAAGTTTTTCTACCGTTTGTTCATTCAATAAATAATGGGCACTTAAATTCACAAAGACATTAAAGAAATCATTTTACATTGAAAATTCAGCAGTCGTGAAAGAACTCACGGCGCTATCAGTGCGATAATGGGGTATCGCTCCCGTTTTGCACGGTATGTAAAAATCGAAGTTTGACTTATTTTCGGGAGAAAAAAAAACGAATTTCACTAAAAATTGATCGCTATTTTTCTCATGTACTTATCATTCGATGACTTACGCAAATTTAATAATTTCAAAAATAACAAAAAACATTGAGTACACAAACTAAAAATGAATATTGTTAGAATAAAGTTTTTTTAACGAAACGTTAAGCAAGCAAGATATCAGAGCTAAAAAAATACATATTTTTAAAAAATTGAAAATAACACCGTACCCATGGCTGCAATACTTGACACCTTCGTCAAGAATGATGTTATCAATCACACTGAAATCACGGGGATTAATTTTTTGAACCGTACCATCATGAGTAACAATGAAAATGTGCTCGCTATTGGCAGCCAAATCGACCGCGCACAACTGGCTCTTCCTGAGACTCAACGAGGACACATCCGAAACACCACCATCCTCGTCCTTGACCTCATCTACGACATCCCCATAATAGAGGCTGCCAGCCTTCGTCATGAAAAACACCCGATCACCGACACTGACGACCTTGGCCAGAGCGCCATCGAGTCCATCCTCAAGGTCGAGCTTGACCTTGTCGGCGCCACGCCACAGGTGCACCAGGGTGGCGTTTTTCTCGCACATAACAACGCCACTCCTGGACAAAGATATAACCTCGAGACTTTAGTTACGCCCGTTGTCGTTTTACTTGACTCGACTATTTGGCAACAAGCACAACTGTTCATCGTCATGTTATTATTCACGATAAATTGGAGCGGGATCGATTAATCAGCTGGGCGGCGTTGCACGAGAGCATCGCTGCCTATATATACTCCCTCACTCTTGTGGGTTGATGACATGATGACTAAACATTGTTGTCAAAAGTTGCACTTACGGTTGCGCTCTGATTATATTTGTACATATATACCTATCTACTGTCTATACAATACATAAACACACTGTTTATACTCTCTCTTCTTTTCGGAGCAATCGGAGTTCTATACATATACTTATAGATATGTAATAGTAGTAGTAGTAGTAGTAGTAGTATAGTAGTTTTTTATTGGCTTAGAGAAAACATACAGCCACTGAGTAGTATACATGGTAAATTACATAGGAGAGTTATTTGTATGATACGTAGGATTGACATATTTTTAGTCCTTATTAACATTGACTCTTAAGACATTTGTTTTAGTAACTAGTATCACAATTGTGTTGAGAATATTAAATTATTGATTATATATATATAAGAAAGTCGCAATAAACATCTTGGAAAATTAAGTATAGTGATTATCTGTTTATCGCTATAATATATACCTGATTTCAATTAACCTTTATGACAAGAATACATATTATATTNCGATAACACTGAGCTTTTGTATTTGAAATGTTTACGCGCTAAACCAAAAAGTGACCGATAGAGGCACTGCATGCTAGATAAAGCGCTCGAGGATTTGAATTTTGAATTGCTCTTACATGAAGAGCGTATCAGATACCAAGCTGATGAGAATAGATAATACACTTTGATCTGTGTCAGTGTGCCGGGAAGCGATGGTAAAATTAACAGAAATTTCATCATTTTTAAATCAATAAATAATATCAGTTTATCAAGTGTTTTTATATTAAAATCAAATATATTTAAAATGTGTTTTTCGAAAATAGAGTTGCTACATTAAGAAAAAAAAGCAAATAGAATGGTTTTCATTATTTTTTTCATATTTATTACTATCAAATAAGCAAGAAATAACCCTAATATCACATGTATACAAAATACGATTTTTTCGACTTTCTAGTTCGATATCTCGAAGAGGAGGTAAGAAGGAATTTTTTTATTTTTTTTCCTATACTTACTTATTTCTGGCATCAAAATATACAAGAAACCATATATAGTCGGGCGGCGCCAGCGTCAACCTTAATTTTTTTAAGGGTAGAATTTGTGGCTGTATAATATGTTATATATACACATGCCAATTAATTAACTTAAATTAAAAAAATTTTTTTAAAGTTTTTGACAGATTCATTTAATTTTAATTGTGCTCATGAGATGCTTTCTTAAGTACGAGACGCTGCTGACTGTACTGAAACAGCATTTGTTAATTTCCGGTACAATTTGTAAAAAAAAAAAAGTTACCTGATGTTGATCAATTCATATAGGTCCATCACCAGAAACGGTCAGATTTTTTTAATGCTAATCGCACATTTGTCGAATTTTGCAACTTTGATACTGCTTAAATGGACGAAAAGGTTGCCAATATAAGTGTTACAAAGTCAATGGCATACATATTTACCAGTTTAGCTTTCACAGACTGGTAAATCTATGCATTTCTTACACTGTGTGCTTTTAATTCTAATAATCTCATCTGCTAAGTATGATAGTGTTAAAAAAATGACAAATATGAGAGCTGGTATACTTCCAATTTATTGAAAAACGTTTTATCAAGTGTACAGTTGTAATTTAATGCATGCCTTTTTTCGATTTTATTAATTACTATATTTTGTTTGGATTTGAGAAAAATTTGCGTTTCACTTGTACAAAATTGCTTAGTAAATATCCTTTTCACTTTGGCAAACAAGATAATTGACCCTAGAAGGCGATTGACATCTGGCAGCCATGAAATTGATCATTGAACTTTTATAAATGTCCTCATTGCTTGTTGCACTACTTGAATTTGAACAAACGCTAAGTTTGGATAACTGTCTTTCTAGCAGCTGTAAAATTTGTTAATATTCCATTAATTATTATAATCAATAAGAAATGAGAAAAACTGTGCTATGAATTATACATATTGTAGGTACCATTGGCTTATCTTTCTCCGGTTTTTCAATAGATTCTTTTTTGATCCCTTTAGCATTCACTGAATAATTGCTTGATTTTGATCCTTTATTTTTCTTCATTTTAAGATTCTGGGTATTTCCATCAGATGTAGTGACTATTGGCCGTTTAGTGTTTAATTTTTCTACTAAAGCCTTCATAGATTCTAAATCGCCCAATTTTTCTGTAGCTCTGAGTAAAGCTTGAGTTAGCCTGTTAATAAGTATTTCCATAGACTCTGATTCTATATATTTTTGTTCTAGGATTTCACTTTCATTTTTTGCATTAGCTTCTTCTGTTAATACAGTATTGTCAGAAAACTTGCTTGAATGCTCTACTGGTAATTCGTTTTTGATTTTTATAGAGTGTGAAAATGTATTTGAGCTTATCTGTGGTTTTATCTGATGTTCAATATGTATACTTGGCAATAAAGGGACAGGTGCTTTTCCGTCAAGATTGTACGTTATGGGAAATATTAAACTCTGACTTTGTTTTGAATCAATCAACTTGTGCTCGATTTCAATATTTTTGTAATTTTCACTGACAGAAGACTTTTTCTCGTAATTATTTGTAAGTTCATCATCTGCATTACTATTTACATTGCTTTTGTACGAATTCAACAAACTACTTACAAAGTTTTCATCGCTTCTCGATTTCAGAAACTGTATGACATCGTTGGAAATCTTCATATTTGTAACAGTAGAGGCTCGTTTTTTTTTTCTTCGTAGTTTTTGCAAAAACCATGATAATCCTTTATTTTTTTGAGGTCCACATGTATTTTTAGTTGGATTTTGAGATATGTTTTCCAAAAAGCCATTAGAGATTTCTTTTTTAACTGTATCCAAGAAAGTATTAGGCACTTGAATAACAAATGTTAATGGAGCGGAATCGTTACTATGATTTTCGAGATTTTTGAAAATATTCATGGTTTCCTTTACAGATTTTATACTTTGATTTTCCCTTAGTGAATGACTTCCATATTCATTCACCAATGTCCGTAAGTCTGGAAAACTTTTACTCAATATGCTGTTTAAAGAAGTGTGTGATTTAACTACTTCTTGTTTATAATCTGTATTTTGTAAGTCGTAAAATAATTTTTCCATGCATTTAAGGTGATGTTGACATTCTTTGACTTGTTCTAAAAATTGTGCTTCAGTATTACTGTGAGAACTTAATGCATCTATATCGTTTTTTAAATCATCCATGATTTTTTAAATTTTATTAATTAAAAACGCAAATAACTTGTATGTTTTTTAAACTAAGGTTAAACTTAAAATTGTTGGTTAGAAAAGTTTAGATGTCTTTTGTCTAAAAATTTTGATTTTTATAAAAAGTTAAATTAACAACAGTTTTCATGTATACATCACATACTTGCTGTTACAGTGAAAATAATGTACATTTGTCACAGCAAAGGTCTTTTGTAAGCCCACAATTTGTCATGATCATAAATTTCGTGGATTTTTTCATACATGTATTTAAAAAAAAATAACAAGTTGTCGTATTGCCCATTATAAGGTTGACATAAATATTCTTCTGTAACATTACTTTTCACGTCTTTTGTTGATATCAAATCTTCAATATCTGCATAATTATCAACTATTCCAAATGAACTTACATGTAATTCTACTAGTAACTGATGAATAGCTTCAACTGTTGCCAAGTACCATCTTGGACTTTTTTTCTGGTGCCTCCAAAATTGTGAGATTCTAGATCTCAATATTACACAAGGTAAATCTAAAGTTTAAATGAGTTGTAAAGTAACAATGCACATTAAATAAAAACGTAAAATAGTATAACAGTATACCTCTTAGCCTTTGGTCTTTATAAATTGACTTTGTTTGATGCCAAGTGCTATCAATAAATACTGCTCTTGTAATAGGAAATTTATTTTTTGTACTTTTAATAAGTATTTTATTTTCATCTTTGTTTTTTATAAACAAATCTTCAACATTCATAGGATTTTTACCTGGAAAAATAAGTACTGTCTGAAGGCTAGTATTTTACTGTTTTTATAATTTTCATAAATAGTAGGTTCAATGAAATATATTTGATATTTACTGTTTCCTTATCAGGAAATTCTGGAAAATCTGGATATGTATATATTCTAACATCTTCAGGAGCAATTATAGCCGCATGAATGGCTGTGCTTTTACCATCAACTTCTTGTTTGTGCTTAATTACGTCTATTTTAACCGGTAACTAAAAATGTAAATATTTTATTATACAATGTCTTTTTGCACAGTGGAATCGTACGTTAGTGTTGTATTCTAGGTTAGAACACCCACTTACTACCGTGATAATTTCAAAATGAGCAAAACTGCAGAATAGCTAAAGCTGTACATGAAAATAAAAAAAGAAAAATAATAACACAAGAATTACCTTTATTCTGGGAAAGTACTGTTTATCAATCACCGGGGAGTAACAAGTATAGCAGAAAAATTTTCGTGATTTGTAACATTTTTCACAAATTTCTCGCTTGTTAATGGTATCAAGACAACTGGCGTCATCGATTTTCAAGTGCCGAAAAGGAACGCGATCAATGATTTTTTGCTGTTCCTCCAAAATTTTTAATTTTGCATTTACATGACTGTCAGACAGATTAACGCTTGGTTCCGTCATTCTTGTTTATGTTTATGTCTGCACTCACGTGGTGAGACTGAGAGACACTGCAGTTTTCTGCTATTTTACAGAAGCGAGCGGAGGAGGAGGGGGGGCGGTACACGTATATATAAAATTGCGATTATTAAAATTAGTAAATTAGTACATTTAGGTGAATAAAAAAAAAGAAAATACACTTCACTTCATATAGATACATTTTTTTTAATTTACACATTTTTTTCCCCCCAGTCCCTTGTAATGAGATGTTGAACATTTAAATGTTTAACATTGAGTACAAAAATTACACTCATTAATTACCACCCATTTAACGTGTAATAATAAATGCTTATCATTTGAAAGTATAAGATAATAATTAATGTATGTTTGTTTTGATTCTGCCTACTGCATCTTCACTGGTGAAGGTGAAAACACTCTTAGTGCGTATCTTACCACCATAACAGCACTGCAAAATAAGTGTAAATTTATGTTTGAACTACTTTGATAAGCATTAATCAAATGGTAGTGCCATGTTAATTATTGCATTACCTTACTGCTGCAATAACGCCTGCAGGCATGATTTTGCCAGTATTATAGAAACGGTATCCCATTAAGCCTCCCAAAGCTGCACTACTACCAAGGATTAAACCATAATTGTGCGGATCTTGAGAAGTTTGAAATGCACCGTACCCCAGAATTGTGCCAAACAAGAGACCGGCTCCTAATGATGGAATGGATTCTATAACAATAACAAATGAAAGGCGTTAACCACAATTACTTTCATCACCTTCAGTGCAATTAAATTTGTTTGCTTGTTCATATGTGTCATATTAATTCAATTTCCATGAGAAGTCAATTAAAATCTTTTCATCTGTTGAAAAACCTAGCTGTGAGGACGACAATCATGTAATTATCTATCAAAAACGCTATTTTTAAAAATAAAAATTAATAGTACAATTAATTATATGCTTACGGGATTTCACATAACCCATTATACCACCAGCTGCGACGCTAGCAGCGTAAGCGAAGCCAGGAATGTCGAGAGGCATTTTTTTTTTTTTATTGTTTATCAACTATTTATTCACAAAACCAGTACTTTGACTAGAACTTTTGAAGCTTTATTGAATGCTTAATCAGCTACCGAATGATTCGCAAGAAATGCGTAATAACTCTATTGTATCTTACGTGTGTATACCTATAGGTAAGTACCTACGTACACAAAATATAATTGAGATGTGTATCGCTGCAGTATTCTAATTGTTATATTTCGTGATATTCTTTAATGTTGTTTTATAGTGAAAGTATCAGATTTTATAAATTTTACACGCTTAATTGCTTCTGAGTATAATGCATAAACTGGAGGCGAGATAGAGAGCTGCATATAACAATAAAATGAAAAAAAATTACGTGCACATGAAGTCATACAAATCGAATTTGAGTTTTTTAGTAACATTAATTTTTTAATCAATTCATTGGGGTCGATAAATTTTTAGATAAACCGCGTCAATGCACGTCTCGGGGGAGGGGAGATAATGGTTATATTTTGCTGCCAACAGTGCCAACCTACCAATCTTAAAGAACTAGTATCCATGGATGTAAAACCATTACCAACTATTTAAAAAAAATTTAACCATCCGGGGCTTTAAGTGCAGATGGTGGCGCCTGATTTTATTTTTTGTTTACACATCATTACGCGTTTATTACTGGCTAATGAAAAAAATAAATAAACTCCAAACCGACGTTTTATTTTTTTTTAATTCAAGAAAACTTATGAGCATACAGTCAACTGATCTCTGGGCGTCAAAGTTTAAATATTGTAACTATAACGATAAGTAAATCTCAGCTGATATCTTTTCATTTCAGTCCGCTGCAGTGCAGCTGCAAGTATCAGCGACAGCAACAGCACATGTCAACATTGTCAGCAGCTAAAATAGTATTCAAAATCCTGTCTGCACGTGTAAGTAGGTATTCGTGGTTTTTTTCCTTCAGTTTTTTGTATATCTTGCACACAGGATCTGTGTGTGTCGGAGGTATACGTGTTGTTAGTTGTGACTAATTGTGCTCGACTATCAGTTATTACGTTGTATGATCACATGATAAGGCGTGCAAGTCATCATTATCATAGGAAGTGGCCGCTGACAGTAGCAATCGAAATCTTGTTATTACGTTGTGGTTTGACGAGCAACGGTTGTAAAAATTTTTATTTGCGAAATTATTGTTTTTTTGTAACGATGTCGTTTGACAAGTGTCTCTTTAGCACTGGAAACATTCTCTCTTTGAATGAGCTGAAGAAAAAAGCAGGTCTTAATTCTGGTGAGGAGGTAAAGTGGCTATTTTTATTTAGTTTTGATGGAAAATGTAATACTCCTGATTAGTAACGCTTACTAATCTTATTGTCAACTTTTTTTCAGCTGATTGAAGCATTGAAAATCACTTCTAAAATTTCTCAAGGCCAAGGTGATGCTTTAGATAATGTAAGTTATTCAGTAGCTGAATATTTTTTAAACATTTGTCATTAAACTTTGTTTTAATTTATTTTGCAGTGCAATGATGCAGACACAAGTTCAGAAAACGTGGATAGGAAGGAGATGAAAATTACTGCCAAGATCTTTCTGTCAACATCAGATTCAAAAGCTTTGCAGGAAGCCCTTGATCAAGGTACATTATACCTAAGTATATGTTTGGATTATGATTAAAAGAAAGCTTTATAATAGTAGTTCTAAAATTGGTCCTTTTTTTTAGTGTGTGAAATTTTAAAAACTGATACAATAGAATCATTAGTAATAGTTCTCAACAAATCGGATAACGCTGATGATTTGTTGCCGTCACTACAACGTTTGTGGACAATCATTGAAGAGTATTCCAAAAATGGGAAGTTGATGAGTGTGGGAGTTAGTGATATGGATACAGAAAAATTCATTCAACTGTACAATTGGACAAACGTAAGTATATTTAATTGAATCTTGGTTGACAATTGATGCCCCTTAATTGTTTATTTATTGAAAATTAACTCTAGGTAAAGCCAAATATAATTCAAATTAATCTAGCAACGTGCTGTGTTGTACCACCAGCTCTTCAAGAGTTTACAAAACAAAACGACATTCAACTATTGACACACAGTGATCCAAACCGTAAGATTTTTAATTTAATGTTTGGAAACTTTTTTTTTTTTAATAAAAAATTATAAATTTTCAGCAATTCTCACAANCAAACTATATATATTTTCTTACTTTGGTAAAAAAAAAAAAAAAAAAAAAAAAAAAAAACCGAGGAGTTAGGGTATGCGAGAACGAGTCCTCCGCGCTCCAGAGCGGCTCTCTTGACATACTTTGTATGTTAATGCCACATATAATGTCGCTCGTGTGTTCCTCCCTCCCTCTCTTTATCTTCTTTCGGCGTCTATCTGTTTCTTGCGGGCTCGAGGGGCTGCCGGAGGATAAATAAATTAGGCCGCGCTTCGGAACGCCTTAAATTTTAACGAACGCTCCTCTTGGTTCAACTTTTCCAGGCTCGGAGGGATTTTTTTTTTTTTACTTCTCGTCTATGTTATAAGATATGTCTTTGAAGGCTTCATAGAACTATTTTTGTATTAACGCAAAGTTATTATATTTTTATTATGTTGTTTATACATGTAGATAAATTGTACAAACGGAAAAGCTGTATAGAATGTCTATCATTGTATTATATTATAAATATAAACAGCATTTTGCGAGAATCTCCTTCACTGCCTCATAAATTAGCAAAGAAATTATTTTAAAAATAGGTGTAGGCATGATACGTGAAAACAACGTATATTTCGCAGTCATGCAGACAGTAGTTGGTATATTAATTTAAAGCTCGTACTATTCATACAAGATTCGAAATACTTGTCAAAGTACAAGAATCCATCAATAATTAAATTAAATTAAGTTGAAAAATATCAATGCAGGAACGATGAAAGGATGTTTATTTCATTAAATTTTAACGAAAACAAAAGATTTTTTTGTCCCTTGTTTACTCGCTACTTGATCAATCTTTAAAAAAAACTATGAAAACAAGCTTTGAGGATCTTTTAAAATAATACAAATCATACAATCAAGATTTTGCCGCGTAATAGATCCCGATTTAACGTTCCGCTTATTAGAATTTCAATATTAATAGGTTGCTGGGAAGGAAAAAAAAAAAAAATGAAGTACGAGTCTTGAACACCGTTCTTGCGGAGAGTAGCGAGTCTGAAAAATCCGATTCGTAGAGTCGAAGATGATGAGTTGTTAAACTGTATTTATCGTTAAACTTCTCCTATAAATTGTCCACGTTTAAAAGTTACTACACGTAATCTTAACGCAATAATTAATCACTCCACCGGCCCATAGATACAAAAAGTTGCACACGATCATTTTACACGAAACTGCGAGCGAAATTGAACAAGTACTTAAAAAACTTTGCGCAAAAATGAGCGTATTTCATTGGGTATACATATACTTACGATAAGTGAAAAGTATTCTCGGACATTTATAGTTCTGAAATAAGCAAACATGAGTCGAAAATGTGAATAAACGCGTTTAAACCCACCGAAAGTCCACCTCGCGCGACACATGCACGCAGCACTAAAAAATTCAATCAGTTTCTATGTGCCCTCCATCGCTCGAGTATTTCTCGAGTGGTACAGATGATCGCAGATACCACGGGATCCCACAAACGGCTCATCCTCGGAAAAAGCCACGATCGCGCGTGCTGCCTCCGACGAAAAGATAAGAGCGGAAAAACCGATCGGCGGGAGGGGACTATCAGCGAAGCCGATCGGCCCTCCTCCGCCGGGGAGATAATCTCGGGAGATCGATCGGCCGCGCAATCGTTAAAACGCATCTAATTGTATATTCGCTGTGTGTGTGGACCTGCCCCCCCCCCACCCCTTTCAACCGATCGCGTTGCCCCTCCGTGTTTCCACGTCTTAAAATCATACCGATTTTTCTCTCGCTGCCCAATGTCTTTGAACCACACACCCACACGATACTTGGCAAAAGTTTATTAAACCATGTGTGAAGCGACCGTCCGCGATGGAAGATGGGGAAAAAAAAACCTGTGTACAAATTAGCTCGCCTATCCGTGCAGTAGTCGGTCGGTCAAAAGACACCTCGCGAGGACGCTTGCGACCATATATAGGGACAAAACCGTACATATATAATATCGTGGGGAGCGATAAGCTCGCACGCGGTCGCGAAAAGGGGGTTTATGAGGGAAAAAAGGAAGAGACACTGCTGGCATCATCGGCTACTTGCTGGCGGCGTTTCATACGTGCGTATGTATATGTATACTCGGTATACACACATGTGTATATATATATATATATATATATATATATATATATACGTAGGGTACATCTCGAGGCGCGCGAAAGGATTTTTCCCCTTCGGCGGACGCGTGTGTGAGTATATATATATGCATGTATACGAGTAGGTATGGCCGTGCGGCTCCCGCGGCTACCCTCTCTCGGATTTATCCCTCCGGCTATATAATATACGCAAAGAAGGAGGAGGAGAGTCGCTTTGCTGCTGCCGCGAGCAAACGGGGGAAAAAAAGGGAGCTGCTGCCGTTGGTCCTTCGATATATACATACATACATATACAATATATACGCGTATGTATGTGCACACGGCGCAAGCGGTCTCGTTCGTCCTGGACCCTCCTCTCTCCTTCCTATTCATCTTTTACTCTTGTTTTTCTCTCTGGAAGCCGGACTGTACACATATATATATATATGTACGACGGCTCGCTACTCGATCTCCTTTTCCTTCCTTGCTTTTTTTTCCCATCATTTCTCGGGGGGGCCTCTCCTTGCGCGTGCGCGCACCACTTACGGACCCTCTTCGTCTTCCTAGTTGTCCACCGCTCTCCCTCTTTATCCCTTTTCTCGCGCTCTTTACATTCATGACTATCCTCCCTTTTTTTCTTCACCACCCCCCACCTCGATATCTCTTTGCTTTGATGTACAGCCTAATCGGAGTAGCATTTCTTTTTTTTTTTTTTTTTTTTTTTTTTTTTTTTTTTTTTTTTTTTTTTTTTTTTTTTTT